CTATAAAATGCTGATAATATATTACATATTTTCCTTTGGAGTAGTTTTTTCCATTTTTTTTTAAAAAAATCATTATTAGTCCAGGCGTTACAGGTCCCCCATCCCACACTCTGTACTATATGCCATAGTTCAAATTTTAGTTGCTGTTTACAGCAAATGCATGGGGTAAAATCCTGGCAATTGTCATTTTTTCTCTACTTCAAGGGCTCAGTGATTTTCATTAGCCTTCAGACATGTCCACACATGTATACTAATGAACGTCATTGTAACTGGTGGGGGGGTAGAAGGTGTCTGATGCTACTGACTGCTGGTCAAAGAACTTAAAACCTGTATTTTCAAAACCATTTAGTTTTGGTGGGGGCATATGTAGTTCTTTTTAGGGTTTGGCAATATCCACCTTCCTTTTTCAGTTTTGATGGATAGTTTCAGAAGAAAATGCTTGTTACTGTTTAGGATCCTGCATTATTTCTTCAGCAGATTTTTAAAAGTTGTTGCAGTGCTTAATTTAAGATGTCTCATTTATAGCTAAATTGATTGGGGTTCCAGTGAATTAACTATGAATCAGGGAGGATCTGAACTTGTTCTAGTTTGACAGTGGCTGGAAAGAGAAAAGAAGAATGTAAGATTTTGTATTCTATTGAGTTTTGAAAGAATAATTTTAATATTGGATATTTTGAAAATCTTATTTGCCCGTGTCTGTTGTGTGGACCTCAAAAGATTGGAAGTGTTATTTTCAGTCCCAAGTTGTTCAGTCAAGTTGTACTGTATATAATCTGCAATATGCACACACAAAACAAATTCTTTGAAAAGAAACAAGCAAAAATTAAGACACAATAAAAAAATGCCAGCAGGATTATTGTTTTCATAACTCATTTTATTTAAAGGCTTTAAAACTTACTTGCTGCTAGGTATTGCACAAAGTTTCATGCACACCTTATAAATGCCTATTGTAAAATGCTTTATATGCAAGTTATATTATTATTGAAGGCTCTTACTCATTCAGAGAAAGCTTTAAATAGTTTGTGGAGATTAAAATGTGTAAAGGAAAAGAGACAGAGAAGGAAATATATCTAATGACGTATTCAGCACTTTTTTCTTTTTCTTTTTGTTTTGTTTAATTTGTTTTGGGATGACTTTCTAGTTTCCACTGCAGTGGACAAAATCCAACATCAATATACATATTTTGCTGTTTGCTATTATTGCAACTACTTAAACTTTGGAAAGCCTACACATTCTAGGATGGGCTAAACATGGCACTGCAACCCTTGCAGTCTATAGGAAGTGTCAATTTCATTCTCCCAATTCGTATTCAACTTGTAGTCTTCTGCAAAGCATCCTGTTGCATCCAACTGTTCCTTTGATTGCTCCTGCTCTGGGAACATTTTGACTCTGGGCTCTGTTGGAAGTTGAACCAAATAAAGACTGGAAAACAGACCCTTTTAACTAACAAAAGCATTTGCTTCTGGGCGAGAGGGAACAGATTGTGAATTTTGTTTACAGCATCCAATATTTGGAATATTTGTAAATAAAAATGTTATTTTTTCTATTTATTTGTGTCTGATCTTTCCAGTGTCAAAAACTATTCTGAAATCCATTGTCTGGGATTACTGTTGAATTTTGCTGTTGAATTGTCAAAATAGGGCTTTACTTTATTGCATGGCCTTAAAAGTACTTTTACTTGCTGGAAAATGTCGTTCAAGATGCTATGCAGCATGGGAAAAAGCACTGGCTTTCTTCCAGCATGATTTTTGCAAGCACTTTTTGAACTGAATTCTTCATGGAAGTGGTCTTGGCAATGCCTATGCCAGCCTTCCCCAATCTAGTGGCCTCCAGATGTGTTGGACTGCAGTTCCCATGCTAGTTGTGAATTAGTGCTGTAGTATCAACCCATCCTGAGGGCACCAAAGGGGAGAATCTGGATTACTCCTGAGAACACGTCTGTTCATTCAACATCAAACCTCAAATCATGATGAGAGTATAACCCATCCATTTGCCTGTCACTTGATACTGGGATAAAAGGAATCATCTAAGTCAAGGTGTGCCTTCTTAATCAAATGCCCGCTCCACTCAAAAACTGTAACCAGAGGTGCACATTTACAGAGAAGAAAATATTTCAGTGAGAAGCATTTTGAGATATAAGCTTCATGTAACAGTTGTATAGCAAATATACACTCAAATATCAATAGTCAACCCATCCTGAGGGCACCAAAGGGGAGAATCTGGATTACTCCTGAACACATGTCTGTTCATTCAACATCAAACCTCAAATCATGATGAGAGTATAACCCATCCATTTGCATGTCACTTGATACTGGGATAAAAGGAATCATCTAAGTCCAGGTGTGCCTTCTTAATCAAATGCACGCTCCAATCAAAAACTGTAACCAGAGGTGCACATTTACAGAGAAGAAAATATTTCAGTGAGAAGCATTTTGAGATATAAGCTTCATGTAACAGTTGTATAGCAAATATACACTCAAATATCAATAGTCTAAATTTTAA